TCCGAAGAAGCCAGGCGGTAACTCGATCGCCCCCGAACGCCCCTTAAAACGCGGCGCGCCTGTCTCCTTCTCTTGGCTGCAGCTTATCTCCCCCGCAAGGGAACTGGAAAGCGGAGAGGGAGGGAAGAGAGGAAAGTAACGAGGAGGACGGTGCCTGCCGCGCGGTCCGGGCGGTTCGGGTCACGAGTCAGAGAAAGATCTACAGAGACAGAGACTGCGCCGAACTTCCAGAAGTTTCGCCCCTTAAAACGCGGCGCGCCTGTCTCCTTCTCTTGGCTGCAGCTTATCTCCCCCGCAAGGGAACTGGAAAGCGGAGAGGGAGGGAAGAGAGGAAAGTAACGAGGAGGACGGTGCCTGCCGCGCGGTCCGGGCGGTTCGGGTCACGAGTCAGAGAAAGATCTACAGAGACAGAGACTGCGCCGAACTTCCAGAAGTTTGGGAAACGTTACTCCCAGTCCGAAAAGGAACGTTTCCAAGTTCTAGCAACTCCCCAGCCCCAAATCGCCGCCCGTCCCCAAAAACACTTGCTGCGGATGCTCTCAGAGAACAATGCAAACAAACAAACAAAAAAAGACCAGACCAAACTCACAACCATAGCTATGAGCATAGTATCTTCTCCCCCCCCCCCCCGCAACCCCATCGAGCATAACCAATGAAGTAGGGAAAGGGACTATTTCATACAGAGAGTCTGTTCGGCTTCCGTGTGTGAGTGTGTGTGTTTATGCTTTGTCTGCCAACCCACCTCGAGTCTTAAATCTGAATTGTACATCTCTGCGATGCAGGACTGCCGTGTGTGGCGGGGAGGGGCGGGGAGGAGAAGAAGAGAGGGCGAGCCTTCGGTATGTCCGCAACCTGAGGCTGCCGTCCTAGGCAGGCGTCCACTTTCCAGAGCAGGCGTGCATAGGATGGCGCTGTCAAGGGCTGGTTAGTGGATTCCTGGCCCAGGTCCCGACTATACATTAGGGAATGAATGTTTTTGATCTCCAGCCTGTGGTGGATCGATGAGGTTGTCCAAAGAGAGCCCAAAAATCTGTGGTCGTTCACCACGCTGGACCCACAGCAATATATATATAAAATAAAAATAAAAATAAAAAAAGGCTGAAAGAGTGATAACCTGCCCAACCTACAGCTCCCCTCCTTCAGTTCTATTGAGTACAAGGGGTGGGTAAAACGGGTCCGAACAGAGGGGGGGGGGAGAACTGGGGGCCTCAAGATGTTGCCGGACTCTACCTCCCATCTTCCCTTACTCTTGGCTGGGGCTCACGGGAGATGGAGTCCAACAGCAGCTGGAGGGCCACCGTTTTCCGATATATATTTGCAACTCTTGCGCCGAACTGGAATACCTACGGTATTATATAAACCGCAGGTATTCAAGTTCCGCGCAGGAGTTGTAAAACAAGCATATGCTCGTTGACACGCCCCGTGGAAGGGCAGAAGGCACGGCTTGGCTGGGGGCGAGGGATCCCGATGGCCGCCTCAATAAAGAAAAAGGCCAGTGTCAGCCTCAGTCTTGGGGAGTCGAGGTGGGCTTCCTTCTCTGCCTGCCCTCAGAGCCCCCGTACACGCGCAAAAGCCCTGACGCGGCGGGACCCGACCCAGGTCCTGCAGACAGAAACCCTGCTTCTCCGAGAAGGAGCCCTGAAGCGTCTCCCTTCCCACTGCGCCCTCTGCTCCCTTCCAGGAACCTTTCCAACTTTCCTCCCCGACAGAAAGCCACTGCGGACGACGCTCCAACCCGGGAGCCAGACCTAACCCCAGACGGCGGCTTGCGCGCGGGGCTCCAAACTTTGCCAACCCGCCCCAGCCAGCCAGCCAGCCAGCCAGCCGGGGCGGCTGCGCCTCTGCATTCCGCTGGCACGTGCTTGGGTCCCCGCTCGCTAGAAGGAAAGCCAGGTGGACGGATGGCGGTGCGGATGGGTTGGAGAACAACTGCTCCCCATTTCCAAGGCGCGACCCTCCCTTCAACCGCGGAACAAAGGAAAAGGAGCGCACGCCCCCGCTCACGCAGCCCGTGTTTACATCAGCGGCGGGAAAGGAAGGGGTGGGTGGGGGAGCCAGTCCCTTGTTTGCTAATGTCATCAGAGTCGCTTGGCACCCCCCGCGATGGCTATTCATTAACAGCTCGCTAGCATTTCACGCCCTCCTGTGTCCCTCCCTCCCTCCTTCTCCCTCTCGCTCCGCATCCGCACTCACTTTCTCCGCGCAGCGCCCCAACGCTCCTCGCCCTTCTCCTGCGGCCCGTCCTGCTCTCCCCGCCTGAGCAGCCCGGCAGCAGCGGCTCTACTGCCGCTCTTCATACTCCTGATCTCGCTGTACTACTTGGTGCTCTCTTTGGGAAACCCTGGTGTGTGTGCGTGCGCGCCTGTGTGTGTGTGTGTGTGTGCGTGTGTGATGTCCCCCCCCTCTTCTCCCGCTCCAGAAACAGATTTCCTACATTTCATCAGTCCGCATAGACCGGACGGAAGTTTAACGCTTACTTGGGACGGGAGGGGAGACCGACGACGACGCTGGCAAACACAATTGACACCGGTTTACCCTTGAAAGGCAGAGATATTGAATTACAAACTGTTGGCAGGGGCTCTCTGTTAGGAGGTAGGGGGATGGAGTGTGTGTGTGTGGGGGGAAATGACCCAGCTCTGATTTATCCGGCTTCCAATACTCCCCCTGAATCTAGGGAGCGGAGGGGAGGGAGAGGTGACTTTTTAAAAAGATGCAGGCTGTGATTTCTTGGACACATTGAAGGGCTTCATTATAAGCTGTGAAAATGTTTCAGCTTTTTGGGACCCAGAAGGGGCTGAAGTTTTAGCTTCACGCCTTAAGGCTTGTGGGGTGGGAAAAAAACCCTTCATGCAAAGGCAAAGGCAAAATATCTTCCTTAGGGGGAAAGCCTAAAATAAAGGGTTGTGGGTGCTTTATTGCAGCCTTTCACCATCAAGAGCAAAATTTGCTATGTGTGTGGAAAAGCTCAGGCCACATTAATCCACCTTATCCATTTGCGTGGTATGAGAAGGTTTGGTAAAGTGGGCAGAGTGTCAGACCGGGATTCAGACCACTGCTCAGCTATAGATACTCAGTAGGAGGTGACAAGAGTCAGCCTCTCCTTGAACGTCTCAGATTCCCTGAAAATTCTGTGAGGAGCACCATAAAAAGTCAGGTGTTCCTTGATGGCACAACATGTGGTGCAGGTGGGCAACGCGTTTGTTTTGGACGTGGGCAATCCAAGTCCCAGGTTCAAGTATCCACTGAGCCATGGAAATTGCTGGCTAACCTGACTCTCCCTCAGTCTCACCTGTCCTACTTTGGCCTCACAAGACTCTTGTGGAGATACAGGAGGGCTGAAGACAGCCATGGACTCTGATTTACGTTTTCTCAAGGAAAAGTAACATATAAGTGTACCTATGTGTCCAGACATCTTGGTGCCAAGATGAACAATCCTAATAAGATCCTCTCTGTCCACTAATGAACAGGGTAAACAAAATCTTAGTTATTTCTTCCACACACTAGTCCTGTGAAGTGAATAGCTGTGAGGTCCGTACAGGAGGAGAACCACTCCCTGAAATCTTCTCCGCGTCAGGTCTGTTTGCCTCCCACTTATTCATTCACACTGACAACCAAAATGAACTTCTTCTAATTGCTTCACAGAGGTAAAGCTGCCTGTAGGGTCGTACAGATTAAATTCCATTTTGGATCCAGTTGGATGCCCTCCCAGGTAAACTGAAGTTTCTAAGATGCCTGCTTGTTTTTCAGATGAAAGCCACATGTTTGAGTCTTAGCAAGGCTAGGTTTGAGTTGATATGTGTCAAATTCTTCTAAAGCATCTGTTAGAAGATGTTCTACCATCTGAAAGCTGTCAGCCTGAACAGCAAGTGGAAGATTTTAAGCATAAATGAAATTTTGGTGCCTTGAGGAAGTGGCTGATCATTGATGTAGGACTGTAGGTGAAAAAATGGGAGCCAGGGCAGTGTACCGACATCCAGCCCAATCATTGTTTTGCTCCCAAACATTGAAGTACTAATTTGGATCGTATGCTCTCCTATAAAGAATCACTCCTGAAACACAAAAGAAAAGGTCTCTGCAGAGAACAATATTCTTGAAACTCTCAGGAACCAGTTTGGTGCATAGAACCGCAAGCACAGAATTACAGCTTTGGCCTACACATGAGTATGCCAGCCTCACACAGTATATAGTACAGCCCATGCCAAACCGGTAGAAGTGGCGCTCAGTGAAAGTTAAATAATCATTACGGAATGTCTGAAGCCAACTCCATTTATTTATTTATTTATTTCTGTCATTTATATACCACCCCATTAGTGCACAATATGATTCTGGGTGGTGTACAGAATCAGCAAAGTGGCACAATCAAACAATAAAAACATTGAACCAGCAACAACAGAAAGTAAACTAAACTTAAGTCCTAATGGCATCAAAATCAACCACCTCCCAGGAATGGCACTCAATGACATACAGGAAGAGGTAGCCGCTAATAGTGAAAGGCTCAAATGACCATCTCATCTTTGGCTACCACCTGGTCACTCCCAAATTAAAATCAAGGAGAAGGTGTGTGGGGTTTTTGGGTGTGTGTGTGCAGTAATGTGTAAATTCTGAAGGAATAGCAGAGAATGCCAGGAAGAGTATAACGTGCAAAACTGTCAAGGAGGCACAGTGGGGAATCAAACTCCCAACTTCTGGTTCCACAGCGAGATGCCTTACCACTGAGCTATCCAGCAGAACTACCGTGCTCTTAAAATGGATGGATCTCCAGGAAAGTCTAATCCCTGATCACGCAGAAAACCAGGTTATTTGAAAGTCACTTAAAAGGGTGGCATTTATTTATTTAAAGTGCTTTAATCCCACCTTTCTCAATAAAAAAGGACCCAAGGAACTTCTGGTTCCACAGCGAGATGCCTTACCACTGAGCTATCCAGCAGAACTACCGTGCTCTTAAAATGGATGGATCTCCAGGAAAGTCTAATCCCTGATCACGCAGAAAACCAGGTTATTTGAAAGTCACTTAAAAGGGTGGCATTTATTTATTTAAAGTGCTTTAATCCCACCTTTCTCAATAAAAAAGGACCCAAGGCAGCCTACATAAGTCCCTGATCACGCAGAAAACCAGGTTACTTGGAAGTCACTTAAAAGGGTGGCGTTTATTTATTTAAAGTGCTTTAATCCTACCTTTCTCAATAAAAAAGGACCCAAGGCAGCCTACATCATTAATAGACACTTTTAATTGTTCAGTTGTTAAGTCATGTCTGACTCTTCATGACCCCATGCACCAGAGCACACCAGGCCCTCCTGTCTTCCACTGCCTCCCAGAGTTGGATCAAATTCATGTTGGTAACTTTGATGACACTGTCCAACCATCACATCCTCTGTCATCGCCTTCTCCTCTAGCCTTCACTCTTTTCCAACATCAGGTCCTTTTCCAGGGACTCTTCTCTTCTCATGAGATGGCCAAAGTATTGGAGCCTCAGGTGTTACAAGCCTCCATCCATAGTTCTTCAGGCACTCTGTCCACCAAATCGAGTTCCTTAAATCTGTTCTTCACTTCAACTATGTATTCATAAGTGATTAGGTGTAGATTGTACTTGACTAGCCCAGTGTTTTTTCCTACTTTCTACAGCTAAAGCTTGAATTTTGTTAAAGAAGCTAATGATCAGCTCCAGGTCTTTTCTCTCTCTCTCTCTCTGAATGTATAGAGCTTCTCCATCTTTGGCTGCAGAGAATATAATCAATCTGATTTTGGTATTGCCCATCTGGTGATGTCCATGTGTAGCGTCCCCTCCTGTGTTGTTGGAAAAGAGTGTTTGTGATGACCATCTTGTTCTCTTGACAAAACTCTATTAGCCTTTGCCCTGCTTCGTTTTGAACTCCAAGGCTAAACTTACCTGTTGTTCCTTTTATCTCTTGACTCCCTACTTTAGCAGTCTAATCCCCTATAATGAGAAGAACATCTTTTTTTTTGTTTCAGTTCTAGAAAGTTTTGTAAGTCTTCACAGAATTGGTCAGTTTCAGCCTCTTCAGCATTTGTGGTTGGTGCATAAACTTGGATTACTGTGATGTTGAAAGGTCTGCCTTGGATTTGTTTTGAAATCATTCTATCATTTGTGAGATTGTATCCCAATACAGCTTTTCCCACTCTTTTGTTGACTATGAGGGCTACTCCATTTCTTCTATGGGATTCTTGCCCACAATAGTAGATATGATAATCGTCTGAACTGAATTTGCCCATTCCCGTCCATTTTAGTTCACTGATGTCAATGTTTATTTTTACCATCTCCAGCTTCCCAAGGTTCATAGATCTTACATTCCAGGTTCCTATGCAGTATTTTTCTTTGCAGCATCGGACTTTCCTTTCACTTCCAGGCACATCTGCAGCTGAACATCCTTTCAGCTCTGGCCCAACCACTCCATTAGCTCTGGAGCTACTTGTCCTTGTCCTCCACTCTTCCTCATTAGCATGTTGGATTTTACCATCTCCAGCTTCCCAAGGTTCATAGATCTTACATTCCAGGTTCCTATGCAGTATTTTTCTTTGCAGCATCGGACTTTCCTTTCACTTCCAGGCACATCTGCAGCTGAACATCCTTTCAGCTCTGGCCCAACCACTCCATTAGCTCTGGAGCTACTTGTCCTTGTCCTCCACTCTTCCTCATTAGCATGTTGGATGCCTTCCAACCTGAGGGGCTCATCTTCCAGCGTCATATCTTTTAGCCTTTTGTTTCTGTTCATGGGTTTTTCTTGGCAAAGATACTGGAGTGGCTTGCCAGTTCCTGCTCCAGGTGGATCGCGTTTAGTCAGAACTCTCCACTATGACCTCCCTGTCTTGGGTGTCCCTGCACGGCATAGCCCATAGTTTCTCTGAATTACTCAAGCCCCTTTGCCATAGCAATCCATGAAGGGGAATTAATAGACAATACCTAAAGCTAAAACACTAAGTATACAAATACTAAAAAGAATGAAATACCACACTAAAAATAGTAAACAAGGCAAAGAACAAAAAAGAAGGCAAACAAAACTAAAAACACATTCAAATCAGTAAGGCATAAAAATCCATCTAAAAGTCACACTCATGTAGGACGTCACTGAGGGAAAGTTTGCCTGAAGAGAAGGGTCTTTGTCTGCTTGGAAGAACAGCAAAGATGAGGCGAGCATGGTCTCCTGTTCTCGAAAGTCCAGGAGTGAAAGAAGTTGGCAGAACCAAAGAGAACCTAAGAAATTGGAGGCTTCACATGAACACAGACTTTTGTGAGTACAGAGAACAGACAACAACATACACATTTGATGTTAGCTGTCCCAAATGTTCTTGATGCTGAAGAAGCCTCATGAC